TGCACCTTGATCCGAAAGCGGCAGGGGAAAGGAGAGGTCGTGCAACTTGAAACATTTATACTTTTGTGCCTCTTTGGCAACCGCTGGGAGGAAGAAAAGCAGAGCCGTGGAGGAGGTGGGACACAGACAGCCGAGATGCAGTTTGTGGCTTGTCTGTGGATTTAAGCTATCCTCGCTGCCTTGTTAGAGTGGAGAATTTAGGAGTGGGCAGTGTCCGTGGTCGAGGTTGCCAGTGATGGAGGATAGGAGGGACTCCTGCTTGCCCCTCCTGCTTTCCTCCAGATCCACAGGGTGCATGAAGTGATCTCTTCTCCCTGGAGAAGGTGGCCGATTGACCCTGGGTTTGCACACTGATTCAGTGTTTAGGGTGCACCTGCTCCCTGTGGGAACTGAGGTTACAGTGGTGATCAGGATGTGGTCCCCCAGAGCTTGTGTTCTGGAGGGAGGTTAACGATAAACAATGGAAAAAGTAAGCAGAAGATCATGACAGATTGTGGGGAGTTACATGGAGTAAATAAACAGGATAGAAAGAGTGGGTGTAACTGGTGGGGAGGCAGGGGAGCCACTCTCCGAGGCGGCCGGGGAGGACCTCTCTGAGGACAGGATGGACCTTTGAGATGAGACCTGGGGTGTGAGGAGCAAAGAGCCATGGGGGAGCTGAGGGAGGAGCGGTACCAGTGCTGGAAGCAGCAAAGGGCTGGTGGGCTCTCCATCAGAAGCGAGGGCAGAGTCGCTCTTGGGAGGATGGGGAGGAGGGGGCTCGCATTCCAAGCACACCGGAGGGCTAGGGAGAGGAGATACTGGAGTGATGGCTTCCCTTACCTTGTAAGAAGCCCTGGCCACATATCTGACCATGGACTTGAATCCAGGACTTATAGAGGACTCTCAAAACTCAAGATTTAGACAACCAAACACTTAATTAGAAATGGGCAGAACATTTGAACAGATACTTAGCAAAGATAAAGGGATGGCAAATAAATACCCAAACCATCATCAGTTCTTAGGGAAACGCCCATCAAAACCACAGCCAGATGCCACTACCCACCCATTATGGCACGGAAAATAAAAGGCACTGGAGAGGGTGTGTAGTAGCTGGAACTCTCATACATGGCTGGGGAGTTCAGAATGGCCCAGCCGCTCCAGAACACAGTTTGGCAGTTTCTTATAAAGTTAAGTATAGACCTGCCATCATAGCCAGCAATCCCTCCCCCAGGTATTTATCCCAGAGAAAGAAATCCATGTTCACACCAAAAACCTTAGCCTGCTGAGCTGGAAGCCACTGTAGTGTGAGTGTAGACTTCTGTCCTTAGAGATGAGCCACCTGAGGCTCAGAGACAGCAAGGCACTAATCCAGGGTCACACAGCACTACTGGCAGGGCAGGGTCAGACCTGGGTCTCCTGATGCCCATTCCTGTGTCCTGAGCTGTCCATTCCTGGCTGATGACCCAGAGCAAGGACAGTCGGGGTTCTCCTCTGTGCTGGGAGGCCCTCCAGCCCACGTGTTCGTGAGAAAGCTAATTTGGCCACCTTCTCAGGGCCCTGGGCCTCCGCCTGGTCTCACCTTCCTCTTTATGGAAAAACTCTCCAGTAGATTGTTTGTCGGGACCAGGTGCTGCCTGCTGCGTGCAGACGGACGGGTGACCTGCCATGTAAGGGACTGACCTCTGAAAGGGGTGGCAGACTTCCAGGGAAACAAGAGTCGCTGAACCGGCTTCCTGTGGCAGAAGGCGTTCTGACCCAGACCTTGTTCTCAGAAGAATCAAGAAGGCTCTTGCTTTGTCCCCTTCACCAGACCCCCCGCCAAGTAAAAGCCCTCGGCTTGCCTCCCATCCACATGCTCCCAGCTCAGCCCAAACCACACCCCCTACTCCCCTGCCCACTGAGTGCACGCATGTGCGTGTTAGTAGGGATCTGTGTGTGTTTCTGTGTGCTGGGTGTGTTTCAGAGTTGTGAGGCTACAGTGGGATCCCTTTGGCTTTCTCTCCTGAAGGACCAGGGCCCGAGGCCTCCTTTCTAACTCTCAGGCGGCACAGACTCCCTTCCTGCGACATTGCCAGCCAGATTTTCTTGTCCAAGGCCATTGAGGACCCATTGTGGGCTGTTGTAATCCGTCAGTTCCCCCCATGCCTTGACGCTCACCCTCCTTTGCACAGAGGGTATCATGGGCTTTCCGTACTCATGGGCTTTTGGGAAAAATCCTTACTTTGGGGCCATTTTACTCGGAATTGAGAATGAGAGAGAGCAGGGCAAGTCTCTTTGTGAAGGACTGCGTTCAGCTGCACATGACAGAAATTCCACCTGGCCTTGGCTTCAACGGGTGAATGTGTACTTCTCCTTGCATTTCAGGGAGGGTGAGGGCCCTCGGTAGTGCCCGCAGAGACCAGGCCACTCCAGTCCCCGGCACGGCTGTCCCTTCCTGCAGTTTTCTTGTCCAGTCCGGGCTCTGCTCTGTACGGTCATGCTGACCTCACAGGCTGGGGTGAAGACCAGAGGGGACGATGTATGAGAGTGTGGATGTGCAAAGGTGCTCACAGGTGCCCGGGTGGCGGTGCTGTGCTGCAGGCGTGCTTCACCTCTGGGGATGGTCCCACCGCCCTGGAGGTGACCGGAGCAGCCTCCTGAGGTCCCCTGCCCTCTGGGACCCTGATGGCTTCTCTTCCTGGAACAGTGGTTCGCGTGGAAGCACAGTCAGCCTGCTGCCTCTGTGAGATCAGGCGGAAGGGCCAGTTGGTCAGAGTCTTCACAGAATCTGGGGAGAAGGATTTGAAACCACATAGCAAAGCAGCCTCTCCTTTAATCACAGGATCTGTCTGCTCCATGAAGGAGACATGCTGCCCGGCCATCACCAACAATGGCCCTCCGCTCTGCCGACCTCAGCTGGCACCCAGCTCCTTCCCGGGAGCTCGCCAGCCCGGGCCACAGAGGGGTCTCCAGCTTTGAGGGGCTGCCCGTGTGGGTGATGCTCACTGCTCCCCCCAGATTCTTCTCTGGGCTGGCTCCTGCCTCAGTAAAGATGACCTGGGCCTGTGGGTAACTTGGCTCTGACCCTCCAGTGACCAAGCAACCTTCGGTGACCTTCCAGCCAAGTCCAAGGCCCAGAAGTTACTGGCACACAGCTGTGTTCCGTCAGCACGGAGGGGAGGACGTCTTGGCATGGATTTTAGGATTACCAGCAGGCTTGCAAAGCAGGCCAAGGGAGGTCAGCTGGCAGGAGCCTCAGGAGTCCACATCCGCCCAGTGCCTTCACCCGTGTCAGGGGCTCAGGACACCGGGGTCCGGCGCTTTGGCCCTCTGCTTTCATGAGGCCAGCTCAGAGATGCTGCCTGTGTCTCATCACCCTTCCCATCACAGGGACAGAGCCAAGAGGTCGGAGGGAAAGGTCATCGGTCGTCTCCAACCATCCCCTCCTCATCTCATCATCCACAACGTGCATCAGGACTGAGTAAGAAAAAGAAGAAAAAGCCAATAGCGAATGAACTTGAATTTGTAGATTGAAGACAAGTTTCTAACAAAAGGATCCACTACTCTTTACCGGGGCAAGATTGGGACAGCTTCTCATCCTCCCCCAGGCCTGTGTCCCCCACCCCTGTAACCTGATGCGGAGCCCCATGGCCAGGACCTCCCCACTCCCAGAGTTTCCGGAAGCTCTCACAAGTCCGGACGCAACTTTGACAATTCCTCACGTTCCTCTCCTTTCTGTCCTCCTCCCTCCTTCTCCCTGGTTCTCTTCACCTCCCCTGGGCCGAGGTGGCTGGCAGAGGCTGCATCTTCACCTGCATCCTGATGCCCCCGTGCTGAGCCGTGCTGGCTGGGGAGGCGTTAATCTGGCTCTTTGGGGAGCTCTGCGCTCAATTCTTTTCTTGGGTATTTTTTCCCCACTTGGAATAGAAACACAGAGAGGCTCGGCACCAAGTGACATTGCCACAGGTGGCCCTCCTGCGGATGACTCTGCACCCTCTCCGGGCTTCCCTGGGGAGGGTGAGGGGGAGTGAGGGGGGATGGCCCCCAGGGGAAGGGGGACAGGCGGAAGGATGGCCTCCTTCATCCTGCCTCCCATTCCCCACCTGCACTCTTGAGTCTAGGTCCAGGGAGGCAGGTGGCCTGTATCTGCAGGTCCAGGGAGGCAGGTGGCCTGTATCTGCAGGTCCAGGGAGGCAGGTGGCCTGTATCTGCATGTACTGCAGCTCTCACTGAAGCATCGGGGCATTTTGGTCCTCCTGGGTTGCTATAGCAAAACACCAGAGACTGGAAGGCTCAGACAGCAGGCATTTCTCACAGTTCCAGAGGCGGAGAAGCCCAGGATCACGGTGCCTGCAGACTCAGTGTCTGGTGGAGATTGCTGCCTGGTTTGCAGACAGCTGCCTTCTTGCTGTGGCTTGCGGAGAGTGCTCTTTCTCCCTTCCTCTTTGCATGGGGCACCCCCAGCTTGGCCACTCCCTTCCTGCAAGGCCCCCGGGGGTTGCTTCATCTCCCTGCGGCTCAGACTGCCTGGCTGCAAAGCAGGGCGGGTGGACAGAGCAGCCTGGGAGCAGCGGCCCGGGAGGGGTCGCACCTCCTTGGTGACTCCCTCTGACCTGGCAAACCCCAGGTCTCCATCAGGCCCCAAACCCCAAACACCCAGAGGGGCACAAGGAAGCCTGGGGGCCAGGAGCTGGCTGCGGACAGAGGAGCAAGAAGGCATAAACTAGCCTGTCGAGGGCGGGTGTACCCCCACTTCTGACTCCTGCACTCGTGGGCTGTGTAGGCTTCCTCCTGGGGGGTTTCGGAAGGGCTCCCCCACTTCTCTCTCCTGCTGCCCAAACAGTCCATTCAAGTTGTCCCTTCTGATTTTCATTCCCTATTTCCAGGTAGGCATGTGGTCAGTCATCAGACCTTCTGGAACATGTGTGGGCTTGGCCCCCCAGCCCTGCTCTTCCCCTGGGGCGGGGTCTTCTGGGTCGGGAGAGGGTGTGCTCTGACCGCTTCCGTCCTCTGACCCCCCTGTTGTATGTTCTCCACAGCCTGCGACTGTCATCCCGTGGGCGCCGCTGGCAAGACCTGCAACCAAACCACGGGCCAGTGTCCCTGCAAGGACGGTGTGACCGGCATCACCTGCAACCGCTGTGCCAAGGGCTACCAGCAGAGCCGCTCCCCCATCGCCCCCTGCATAAGTACGGGAGAGCACCCTCTTTCTCGGGGCTGGGCTTGGGCATGGAGTCAGGGGTGGGAGGCGACCCTTTCGGGAGGCTGGTCGCTGATACCCAGTGGGAGTAGCACTCAGTGGATCTCTGCTCAGTGGGGCCCCATATGAGACCTGCAAACCTGAGACCTTGAAGATGGAGTCTCCTGCTCTCAGGGGAAAGCAAGCCCCTCTCCTCAGTTCAGGTCCTGTTCCCATGTTCCACCTTGACCCTGGGCCGGCGGGGAGGAGGGGAGAGTCTGGACCAGGGGCTTCCATTGCTGCTGCAGGAACTCCAGGATGCCCCTGCCCCTGGCAGATTCAGAACAGAAATGACGGACACCACAAGGCCTTTGAGAGAAGCCAGGCAGGGTCCCCATGCACTACATCCATGGCCCTTAAGAAGGATGGTGGCGCCCCTGAGGGCCCAGAGGCCCTGTCAGGCCAGCTGACGGCCCCTAAGTTGCTGGAACTTGGCGGGAGGGGTGAGTACGATGGCAAGGGTCGCTCAGGGGTTTAATATCTTACAACTGGTAGGATCGCACAGGTGCAGAGGCTCAGCCCTGGGTGGAAGCCAAGCCTGTTCGGGAGTTGGTCCCCGGCCCTGTTGATTCCTTGTACAGGGCTGACCTGCACCCACAAGGGAGGACGGAAGAAGAAGTGAATCCCAGCCTACCAGGCCGACCCCAGGGGCCAAGGCTGCCTCTTGAGAGCAGGGTTTAGCACAGTCTGCCCGGGGATAGGGCCTATGGCCTGTTTTTGTGTGACCTGATGGTTTTTTAAAAACCTTTTTTAAAAGATTGAAACAAAAATTAAAAGACTAATAATTTATGACATGTGAAAATGATATGAAATGAAAAGTTCCGTGTCCATAAATTAAAGTTTTGTGGGACACAGCCGTGCCTGCTTGTTCTCGCTGCTGCCCTGGCAGAATCGAGTAGTTACAACACAGACCACATGAACTGCAGGGCCTGAAACGGCCACTCGCTGGCTCTTTGCAGAAGTCGCCCGACCCCGGTTTTAGGCTTTTCAGCATCTCATAGTTCTGGGTGGGTACTGGCTTCTCTGGTCAGGGATGAGGGACTTGGAACAACCTGAGACAGAAGCAGGAGGCTGGGGGCCGCTCAGCCCTGCAGCAACTTGGGGTCCTCGGATCAGCCCCCACAGACCTTGCAGGGAATCCCTCCACACTGGGCGGGAGCCTTAGGCCCTCAAGCCTGGACCCGCCCCCGTTGGGTGTGGCCTCACGTTGACACTGGGTCGTGTGATTCCAGCAGCTCTTCTAGCCAGTCCCTCCATCAGGAGGTGTTTCCGTGGTGGCAGGGTTTCAGTAACAGCGGATAACCCAAATCTGAGCCTTGGGAAATTGAGCGTGTATCCCTCTGGGGAAGAGCAAGTTGAAATGATTTTAATGACGTCTAATTATCAGGGTTTCACAGCTTTCAGAATCCTTCTTTTCCGTCCATCCAAAGAGCTGCAACGTGAACATTTTTAGAAAACTTGTAGGAATTCAGCACCGCCATCAGGGCTTATGAAAACGAGTGGGAAACAGACGGGCTCTCCCTTTTAAAGGGAGTCAGGAGCTGCTGGGTTTCCCAGAAATGGCTGGAACCAGCATTTCAAATCCTCAGGGGGAAAGTCCTTGAAATGGAGCTGAAGTTTCAGAATCGGACACAGAAGCCCTGGGAGATGGGCACTCTGGCTTTCCGACACGTTCTCTACCTTCCCTCTTCCTCTCGCGAAGGGGCAGACTGGTGCTGGGACCCGGCATTCCTGCCAACAGCCTGAAGACCTGGGTCTCCATCCTGGGGTTTCTGAGAGCTCTTCCTGCCGGCTCCTGACTAGAGACGCCCAGACAGTGCCTCGAACGCTTTGTTTCATCGCTGCTCTGGGAGCCACGGGTCCCCCTGCTCACACCCCAGTGGGCCTCCATGGCTGTTGGCCCCAGCCCCATTCCTGGACTTGCAGGACTAGGCTGGGCCTTCTAAATGGACCCTCTGGAATGTTCCTGCGGGGACCAGGCAGCTCACAAGGGATCAGAGTGGGCCTGGTATGAGGCCTGGCTTCTTAATGAGCTACTGTGACAGGGCACCTGTGGCTTGTTGTCACTGATAAAATCACCCAAGAGCAAGATCTGACCCCGAATTGAGGGCTGGGTCCTCTGCCCGTTCCTTCTGAAGGCGCAGAGGCTGGCTTCTGCAGGTGACCCTCAAGTTTGATCATAGGCCTGAGTATTCCATCTTGACCCACCAAGCCTTAGGTCCCAGCTGATCTAGAGTCGGGGGTTCCAAGGGATGTCTTACCCCTAACAGATGGTGGCCAGAATCATTGGGTTCGTGGAGGCCTCTGTGACCCCCTGTTCACATGGTCACTCACCAGGGGAGGTGAGTCCCTGGCCTTCAGGGACTTTTGGTCCGTGATTTGGCCCCATCTAGAAGGAGGAAGCCAGAGCCGTGAAGCCTGGGTCTTTCCCAGAGGCTGGCTGAACCTCCTCACCTTTTCTGAGCACAGGGTCAGAGCCAGGAGCTCGTAGGAACTGGTTACCATTCTTGGTAGAAGGGGGGCTCTCATGGATATTGGTATCAGCTCTGGGGACCCCCTTGCTCCTCTCCAGATCAGCCTGTAGAACGGTAAAAGCACATGCTTCCTTTCGGGCCCTTCGATCTTCCGTATTGTCAGTCTGTTCTGCCTACCGAGAAAGTGCCTTCGCTCGTGGGATGTGAGATGTGAGCCCATGGGAACCTGGGCCGGGGATGCAGACCCCTCTCTGCACCTGTGAGACACCTCCCAGCCCCCTCACATGCCACCCCTGCCATGGAACCCTTCCCTTCCAATCAAGGTCAGACTGGGCCATGCAGTCCCACTGTGATAAGCAGGGGGCCCGGGGAGCTGCCTCTCTGCCCAGGGGCTTCATCAAGTCGGTGACACTCAGACAGCAGAGTGGGCAAAGGTCCTGCCTTCTCACTCCCATCCCTGCCAAGTGGAGAGACGGCTTCCAGAGAACAGGCTGTGTGCCCAGGCCCCCATGCCGACTTCCCCTCCTCCCTGACTGTCCTCTCCTGGGACCAAGGAGTGGGACGGGGAGGCAGGGCCCAGAAGGGTTAGAAGGAGTCTGTGCTGCTGTTCTTCTCTAAGGTCAAAAAGAATGTGTTCTTAACATTTCCTCTTCCTCCCATCCTGAACCTCACAAAGAGATCCCCGTGGCACCGCCAACCACTGCAGCCAGCAGCGTGGAGGAGCCCGAAGGTAGGCTTTTCCCCTTTGCTGCTTTTTTTTGCCCTGGGGTGGCACGGGAACTGGGGAGGGAAGGTTAGAGGGGCCAGACTCCTCTGAACCACCATTGGGGTGCTGGTCTGTGTGAGTGGTACCCCTGGGCTGGATTGAGGAGGATGGAGACATAAGGCATTTTTTTCTGCCACATCCCTTCCGAGAATAAAAGGAAGGGGGGTTTATTGGTGCCTAAGGCTAGCCTCTCTCCCAAGCCTGGGACCCTCCAAGCCGCGCTCCTGCTGCTCAGCCAGTGAGGGTGAGAAACTCCTTCCAGCCCAGTGCCATCCAAGCCAGGGGCCGGTAATTCCTTCCGGGGGCTGCAGAGAAGGAAGGAAATGGGTGGTGGGGATGAAAAAGGCATTCTTGAACACCAGGGTCCACAAACAGACCCCAGGGGGGCCTGTGAACCCAGACAGGAAGAGGCTCACCCCTCCCCGTCCCTTACCTCTCACTGAAATGGAGAACATTATAGAGGTGGGCCACCAACCACAGCGGGGTCAGCAGCACTGGTGATCTGCCAGTGGCAGAAATCACAGCCATTTTCACGTTAGCATTGGTGTAGATGTCATGAAATATTGTTTATGCTCGATATTGCTTCAAAAGGGTAGAAATTACCAGACCCACTGCTAGATCCTGATTTATAATCATTAATAAAGAAACACATACATTATGTAACTGTATAATAAATCTGGGTTTTTGAAAATACTGGGGTAAGTGTAGTTCAGTATTATTAGTTTCCTTTGTAGTCCTATGGATTTTATTTTTGCATTGAAAAATATGACTGTGAGAAGGGGCCCATGGACGTCGCCAGTCCTTGGTACAAGAAAGGTCACCCAGCCCTGGCTTTGGGCACAGAGAGGGCCTGGAGCCTGGCTGGAGGGGACACCAGGCGGAGAGCAGCCAGGCGTGTACCCAGCGCCCTGGGCCTGGGGTCATATGCGGCTTCTGTGTGACGGTACTTGGAGTAGCAGTGAGAATGGTGGGGTTGGGGGCAGAAATAACGACAGTGGGGTCCCTCAGGGACATTGGTGTCAGCTCTGGGGCCCCTTTACCTCCTCTCCAGATTGGCCTGTGGAGGGGGGTCTTGTGTACCCATGTGGTCACCTGAATACTTTAGAATAGACTGTTTAGTATTTTTATGCACTGGGAACTTGAAGTTGCTTATGCATAGTCAATAAACAGCCCTCGAATAGGGAAGAAAATTTCAGGGAGCACCGGAGGCCACACCGGAGAAAACCAACAATACTTTGGTCTTGGGTTGTTGCGTAGAGTCTTCAGTCCCCTTTGGTTGGGCCGCAGGGGACACTTACAGGAGAGAGAGCACTGGGAAGGGGTCAGAGGCAGCAGCATCATGGGTGAAGAAGGTCTTTCTGTAAAAACACAATTCAAAGGAACATCCCCAGTTAGTTCAGTTCTCGGGTAGAGCAATTTTGAAGCGAGAAGACGCTTCCATTAAATGGAGTCTCGATTCCTGCTTCCTTGCTGTGAAGAGACGCATCAGAACTCACCAGGACAAGCTCTTCAGGCAGGCTGATTACGCAGCTCATCCAAGGTCAAGGCAGAGTTTCACAATCTCTCGTCTCCCCTTTTTCTGGTCCTTTCAAGCTTGACTTTAGGTTTCTCCCAGTGGTTTTTGACTTTTTCTTTCCAAATTAGAAATGGGCAAATGGAAAAAAAAATAAGAGCAGAAGAAAAAAACAGCTCATGAGTTTTCTGTATTGGCCACAAGAAGCTGATACAAAGTGCAGTGATCTCTGCTCAAGCAGGCAGAAGATTCCTGGGCAACTAATGAACGCTTGTAGCGTCTTCCTTTGGAAAGTCTACCAATTCCTAGTTAACTCTTCTGACTCTTTCGGATTTTGTTCCTGTTTATTTCCTTTCTTCTGAACCTTTAAAAACACCATTTAAATGGAAGCAGACAGTAAATGAACACCCTTATAAAGCGCTTTCTTCACAGAGGGGCTAAGTGAGCAGGTGTGATGCTGGTTGGGATGCTGTATCCTTGGCCAGACCCTTTGTGACCTTCCCTAGGTCTCCGGATGTCCAGGATCTCTGATGCTGTCTGCGGAGAACTTGGGCCGTGCCCAGATAGTGAGTGCTGGACTCAGGGGCTGCCACCACAAAGACGCCCTGACTGCCTCGTCTCAGCAGGAGGGACGTTGTGGGCAGGAGGCCAGGGGCCCCCCTGGGAAGCGGGGCCTGGGAGCTCAGTACTTCCAAGCTTGTCGATTCTTGCAGTGTTTGAATAGGGAAGGCCTCTGTGCCGGGCTGCCTGAGAATAGCTTGTTTACTTTTGCCTGTGGAACGAAGGAGAATTAATAAACGGAGAATTTGTCCTGAAAGCTGATGGACATAACCTCACCCTGAACCCACCCCCTTGAAGGGCCAGCTCAATCCGGGAATGCTGTCCACCTGCTCGCTCAGCTGGCTGGTACCCATCTTGGGACAGGGAGGCAAGGAACGCTGTCAGGCCCGTGGGTGGTCTAGGGCTGAGGGGCCCAGAAGGCAATGGGCTGGGAAGGAGACACCTGGTAGAGGAAAGATGGCCATGTCCCAGGTTTCAGTTGAGTCCCCAGGACATGCCCCACCAAGTGTGGGTCCTTGGCTTCACGCAGGAAAGAATTTAAGAGCAAGCCACCACTGAGTAAAGGTAGACTTATTCAGAGAGATATATATGCCATAGACAGAGTGTGGGCTGTTTCAGAAGGCAAGGGAAAGGCCAGGAGGTGTGGGGGTTGGGCACTCAGTTTAAAGTAAAAGTAGATACACTCTCCACAGACAGAGGGTGGTCCGTCTAGAAGAGAGAGCGGCTATGAGGTATGGGGGTTATTAGTTTTTAATGGGCTCAGTAGCTTCATATTCTAATAAGTGGGAGGATCATTCCAACTACTTTTGGGGAAAGGGTGGGGATTCCCAGGAGTTGGGCCACTGCCCACTTTTTGACCTTTTATGGTTAACCTCCGAACTGTCATGATGCCTGTGGGAGTGTCATTTACCATGTTAATATATTACAATGAGCGGATAATAAGGTTCAAGTTCTGCTGGGAATGGAATCTCCTGCCACTTAGTGTTAACTGCTGTATCATTCCTTGAATGGCTGTGCCCTGCCCTCTTCCTTCCTGTCTCACACCCACTCCAAACCCACCTACTTATGATTGTAGAGACCCCCACCCCACCTTCCCTTGCCCTGTATCAACTCCAGAGTTGATCTGCATATCGTTTAATTTGTGGAGGCCACTTGGTTCAGTGGAAGGAGCACTGTTTTGGAGTTGGGAGATCTGGAATTGATTCTCCACTGGATGTGAGGCCTTGGACAGAGCAAAGGCTTCTCTTTTCTGCCTCCTTGAAAGATGAAGGGGTGGGCCCAAAGGTCCTGGGGCCCTCCCCGCCCTGCTTCTCATGGCAGGAATGAACTTCTGCTGAGCTTTCTTCCTCCTCAGAAATGCCTGGTTGCTCCCCTCCCCTCTGGTGATCAGCTTCTCCCACAGGCGTTGCAGTTCCCGTGGGCAAATAGTTAACACCTGGCTGGGGTGAGGCTTGATTTGTAGCATTTGCTCTATCCATGGTGTGAAGGGGCCCCTCGAGCCCACGTGCGCCTCCCCCGGAAGTGGAGTGAGCGTGCGCCGGAAGTGGGGTGGAGACGCAGAACGCAGAAAAGCCAGAGGGAGGCGGGGCCGCCTCTCAGCGGGGGGGAGAAGCTGCGGACTTCCGAGTGGCCTCGTGGGTTAGAAGAGGGCAGGGCTGTTCTCGAGTGGAAGCTGGACTCAGGATGGAGGTACGAGAGCCTCTAGCCGACTCCCTGGCTCCCCGACCCCTTCACCTGGGTCTCGGACCCTCCCTCCGGTCCAGTTGTCCTCGCCTTGTCTGGGACCCCCGTGTGGGGCCCCGCTGCCTCCGCCGACTGCGCCAGCCGCCCAGCCTGGGGGTCGGTGCGGCTTCCGAGGCCCTCTGGCAGCCCTTCTGGGGAGCCGGGCAGCTGAACGGTTGCAGGCAGCGCCCCACTCAGGTGCTTCCAGGGGTGGGGTGGGTGTGGGCTTAGAGATGTCACATCTGGGGGCCTCGCCGCACCTCCATATTGTCGGGGAAGAAAATTGGGTTTTTATAGACTTGCCGCTGGATAAGCTTGGATTAGTCTCCTTTTAGACTTCGGTTTTCCAAGGTAGGGAGTAGGTTGGGTAAGTAGTGGAAGCGAGCTGATAAGACTTGAATGCAGTGTTGGCCGAGTGTGGGGGGCGGGGAGGGGCACTGAACTGGGCGTTCTGCCTGACCTTGCTTCCTCCTGTGTGAAACCGGGTAATGATAACCCTGCCTCCAACGGTTGTTGTGGGGAATAAACGAGATGGTCTGAGTAAAGCCTTTGATTCAGCGGCGGACTTATCGTAAGTGCTTAGAAAAAAACCAGTGGAACACCCTGGAAAATCCAAACAGCACGGTGTATGGAAGGATTGAGCTGACTAAATTCTCCCAGTGCTTTACCAGGAACGTGGGTTTGCATGAGGACAGGTGTGGAGAGTCAGTCGGGGGAAGGCTCTTGAGAAGACCTGGGCGGGGAGCAGGTGGGGCTGCCCAGGGCCGGGGGCAGCTGAGGAAACTGCGAGGTGGCTGCTTCACAGACTATAAGACCCTGTTAAAGCCTGGAAATTGATTAAAGGTCAAGGGCTTGACCTCACAATAGCCAAAAGTTGGGGAACAGCCCAGATGACCACGGGTGGCAGAATGGATAATCTCAGTGTGGCATATCCACCCCATGGAACATTGTGCAGCCAGAAAAAGGAATGCAGTACTGACAAATGCTACAACCTCGGCAAACCTTGAAAATCTTACGCTAAGTGAATGAAGCCGGATACAAAAGACCACATGGTATATAATTCCATTTATATGAAATATCTGGAATAAGCAAATCCAGAGACAAACTGGTGGTTGCTGTGGACTGGGAGGAGGAAGGAATGGGGAGTGACTGATGGGTACAGGCCTTC